TTTTTTCAGATTCAAACACCAACTTGATCCCGGCTCTGACCAACAGCGGCCCTGAGACCAAGTTTCTACGCAGAGTGGGTACATACATTACATTGCTCAATAGTAAATTTTTTCCAGAGCACAGCTTTATTTCTACACTACACTACCTCTTACCTCAACCATGCTATCATTGCCCATGTAGACTTGATCACCTTGTCCTCGAGCAATCGCCTGGAAGTTTTTGAAGAGGCCTTTATTGGAGCAGAAATGACGTGAAGCTCCGGTGTCCATTACCCATTCCTTGGAATCTTCTACTATGCAGGCTTCAAGCGTTATTACTGCTGCTATCACTTCACTTTCTTCCACCACATTGGCTTGTTTCTTGGATCCGCCTTGATTTCCTGCGAGTCATCTTCCTCCTTTCTTGAAGTAGCACTGTGCTGCTTGGTGACATGCTTCCCGCAGACGTAGCATGCTCCCTTTTACCTGTTTTGTGACTTTTATTCGCCTTGAAGTTGTTGGTGTTATTGGCTTTCACATTCTTCTTCCAGTTTTTATTTTGGCCAGCATTTCAATTTTTGACCTGTCACTTGTTACTATTACATTGCCTTCATTTTTTTCAGAAAATGAAATTGTGCTTTGCCTGAGGCGAAATGCCTCCTCAATATTGATATGGTTTACCATTTTTTCCCATGTACATTCCTTAGACTCGTGTTTCATTTTATTTTGGAACTCTGACCATGATTCAGGTAGTTTTTCAAGAAGTGAATAAGTTTGAAGAGCGTCACTTACTGGTATACCTTCGGTGATTAAATCTCCAACCAAATTTTCATATTCATGCACTTGATCAATGACTGGCTTACCATCCATCATTTTGTAGTTCAACCAACGGGCAACGGCATATTTCTTCCGCCTGCATCGTCTGAGCCGTACTTCTTTCGCAATAAATCCATATGGTTTTTTGCGCATTCTGGCTGGCATAAATGTCCAGTAGTGCATCGGACATATAATGAACCAGAATACCCTTACCGTTTTATTATCGCGCTCGTATTTCGTACGAGTGTCTTGGACTCGATCGTCTGTCTTGGACGAAGGAGGTGTCTTCGGATCTGCTGCTGCTGCATTCTGTTCAGTGACCGCATTCTCAGATTGTTCATCGTCAGTTGTGGCTGGTTGTGCAGGCAGGACCGCATCTAGCAAGTTCGCTGGTGGACCGTTGATGACGACGTAATCAATTTCGAGGCTTCGAAATGGATCATCAGTTTCACCGCCCACTGCGATAGTTGAGGCCGTTGAGTGGTTCGATTTTCGTGAGATCAGCAGCAGCTTTGGCGACAAAGGAAGACATATTGGTTTTTTGGTACGGAGGGACTAGCTTTTAACTGTTGTGGTTTGGGGGTGTTTTGGAATGCGATATTTAAAAGGAGTTATTTGTTTAATTTCTGTGACGTGTGTATAGACACACTGCCTTAAAAGCTAATTCCGGAGACCGTGCGAGTCTTTTATAACCGGGGCTTTCGACCAGCAAACACAGAGGATACTCACGTATAAATTTCACAGAGTATACGTATATTTAAAGCGTAGTTGCTGAATGACTTTGCAGTATGGGAAGGCTGGGTATTTATACTGGGTGTATACCAACTGCCTTCCCACTACCACCACAATAAAGAGCGCAAAAGATGGATAGGTTGCGCACAAACCATCCACTATGAGGCTCGGATTACTCCTGTCCACAAGAAGGCTTCAGGAGCGCAAAAAAATAGGACAAAGAAAAAACTTTGACCCCACCACACCGCGCGTGCGAACCGAGCAGGCGGCGACGCGCGCGAGGCTCCCCTTTCCTCTCTCTAGAAAAGACTTCAAAGGACCCATTTGGGTTGGTAGTGAAAGTGGGAAAACTATTCTTGGGAAACCAATGTGGGACAAACTTGTATGCAAAACCTCACTCTTGAATGTCTTATTCCCAACAAATCCATGATAAAAATTGCAACCGAAAGATTTTCTGACAGACCAACAGCCACAAAGAAATTGGAATGAACACTCCATATGTGCGACCATACTAATCTAATACGATTCATACTATAGTACCTGCAAAATTTAAAAATAAATTAAAATAAAGTAAATAGATTGGTACTATTCATCCCATCAACTTTTAGAGTGTTTCAGCATACAGAAGGCTTAGAGGCAATATTTGATAAATTCAAGGAAAGAATCTTACGCAACTTCAACCATTTTTGTAAGGCTAAACACACGACGATCTGTTGAAGATTGTAATTCTGACATGGGCACTTTGCAAAGAGCTCTCACAAAAGCCACTATTACCTCATTGTTTAACCTTTTGGCTATGAGCAAAGAAGTGGCTAAGCTCAAAATTCCCAATCTGATCAAGCAAATTCAAGTTGGAAATGAAGTTGTTTATTTGCTCTGGAGACACCAGCACTGGAGAGTTAAATACTTTTTAAAAACACTTTTAGCTAAAATCCCATTTTAGCAATTTCAGCTTCGGAAAATGCAAGTACAACTCACCATTAGTAGCAAACACACGCTACTCAAACCACAATCAAACTCGAATGCAATTGCTACAATAGACTACCAACTAAACACATTCACGTAGTAGCATAATTCTAGAACTAGAAACATATTATATGCAGACACAGAAAGGGCACCTTGATGATTCTGTTTCAGGCTAATGTAAAGTGATGATCAATTTGTAGGCTTTGAGCCCTAGCCACTCAGCCTTCACGTACGTATGTTATTTATTTATTTGTTTTTTTTTTTTTATCAGTTTTACCTTTTACTTTTTAGTTAGGTTTTGCTTCTTTTTTTTTTTTTCCTTTTAAATCTTTTATTTATAGAAAAAAAACAAAAATAAATAAATAAATAAATTGGCCGCCTAGGCGTCAAAAAATCAGCGCTTAGGCGGTCCCAGGGCGCCTAGCGTCTTTTTCAACATTTGTCGTTGTAAGTAAACAAAATTTAAGTTAAAAATGTAATGAGACAAAATTTGAAGAATATAACTAAATGTAACAACTGCTACAATAAAACTTTATATATTAGAACTCATTAGACATGTTAATATAATTTTCTTTTAGAAAATAAAACTTTTTCAACATTTGTCGTTGTAAGTAAACAAAATTTAAGTTAAAAATGTAATGAGACAAAATTTGAAGAATATAACTAAATGTAACAACTGCTACAATAAAACTTTATATATTTAGAACTCATTAGACATGTTAATATAATTTTCTTTTTAGAAAATAAAACTTTAGAAAAAAATTATTTTATTAAATCTATAAATAAATAAACAAAATAGTATATATATATATATATATATATATATATATTTAATTCATATAGCATACCATTTTTTTTTGTGTCAACCACACTAATATTCATTATAGCATACCATAATATTCATAAAATAATAAAATAATATTTAAAAATCATAACTATGCTAATATTAACGGGTTAAGTCAGTTGACCCGTTATTTGCGTGTCTAATTCCGTATCATGTTAACAACTCGTAAAAAATTCCCTAAGTCTAGGCTATGCCTCCAGGAAGAAGAGTCTATTTCCTGTGGTTGATGCATACATTGAGACAGTAGGTCACAACAAACATTAAAAGATGTTGGTTCTGCAAATGAATTGAAAAATCTTCCATCTAGCTACAAGTAAAGAAAATAAAAAATTCAAAAAGATGGCCGAGTGAGTACAGTATGAATTTTGTATTTAAAGATTACAAGTCGATTCTTATTAACATTTTTTTAGGAGCGATCTTCCTAGTGCAATTTATGTCTATTATGCATGTGGTCGTGGTCTTTCCAACATGCTCTCTTAAATAATTTTTACACAAAAGTAATATTTACCTAATAATGTCTGTAGGTTTACATAGTCATCCAAAGAAAGATTTTTATTTTTATTTTTTTTAAAAGTGTAAGGATTCCACCTATTAAATTTGGTGGTGTAAGATAGTTCCCCAAAAAATTGGTTAATGACCCAGACAACTCAGCCACTCAGGAGTCAGGACAGTAAAGACCAAAGACTAAAGACTAAAGACTTTCCTTCAAAAAAAAAGAAAAAAAGAAAAAAAAAAAAAAAGAGAAGACTAATGACTTGCAATGCTGCTATCATAGTTAACATGTATTTTGGGTTAGACTTGTAAGTCTTTGTTTTTAGTTGTTGACGCCTTGACGGAGCAAACTTACAATTTGGGGTAGAATAATTTATTTCACTAAAAATTGATTAATGATTGAGAAAGCTCAGGAATAATGACAACTAAAGACTAAAGACTAGCAAGTAACAATGCAACTATATATTAAATTTAACATGAATTCTGGGTGCTTAAAAAATTACGTAACTAATACTCGACTTTGCAATTTATTGTAAACTGAGCACATCGATATTGAATATTGACCTGCCTAGCGTAAAATTTAAATACAGATAGTGAAATTTAAATACACCAGTGATGGAATTTGACTCTTTGGACTACAACAGATAAGGAAAGTATAGAACAAATACTAACTTATAATAGTGTTAATTAATTGTATAAAAAAAGTCAAGAATGTAATGTTATAAAAATTAAAGGATAATAAGACTAAATATCACAATAATTAAAAATTAAAAGTAGAATTCGCGTGGGTTTTGCAACGTACAATTATATATTGGCAAAAACTTGTTTGAGACCATCTCATCGTGAGTCGGGTCGGGTAAATGTAATATTAATTAGGAATAAAAATTTTGTTACTTGTAAGGGTAAATGTAATATTATTTTTAAAGGAAAATGTAATACTTTTACAATTTGATTTAAAAGTATTACATTTTAGTATTTTATACGATTGAGACATGCAATGCATTTTCCAGTCCATGTTTTTCGTAGTTGTCAAGGAAGCTTCCCGCCCATCTTAGTAATAGCTATAGCATATGAAGTTTGTATATATATCTATTATCCAGCAAACAAATAAACATAAGCAAAGCATTACATTTAGTCATATATATATTAAGCTTGAAAAACTTTCCTCATAATGGGGACGACTTTCGTCCATCAAACTAGTTATTTCTTCATCATCCTCTTCGCCTTTGTGCTTATGGAGCTGTGCAATTGTAGCGGAAGCAACAACTTGGGGGTTTGCAAGGAGAGGGAGATGCAAGCACTATTGTGCTTCAAGAAGGAGTTTGAAGATCCAATGAATCGACTCTCCTCTTGGGTTGATGGAGTTGATTGTTGCACCAAATGGGAGGGAGTTATGTGCGACAATGTAACCGGTCATGTTGTTTAACTCCGGCTAACAAATCCCAACTTTCAGTTTGAGTTTGTTCATCTTCCGAAAGGTACACTCAGTCCTTGTTTGCTAGAATTGAAACAACTACATCACCTTGATCTTAGCGGCCTTTATAAATATTTCAGTGGATCTCGAATTCCTAATTTCATAGGATCTTTTGCAAACTTGCAATATCTTGATTTATCCAATTTGGGATTTCAAGGGATCATTCCCCCTCAACTTGGAAACCTTACGAGTTTGCACACTTTAATTTTGCAACTGAACTTTGATGATACAAGTCATGCTAGTCTCATAAAAACTAAGAGTCTTGACTGGTTGTCCAATCTTTCAAATTTACAGTTATTGGATTTGAGTTATGTTAATCTCAGCATGGCACATAATTGGTTAGAGGCCATTAATATGCTTCCTTCCTTGCGTGAGCTTCATTTATCTTATTGTGATCTTCCTAAACTATCCCAGTCACTTCGCCTTCTAAACAATTCTTTACTTGAAGTCCTTGATCTTTCCCATAGTGAATTCAACACTGTTATTCCTAAATGGATGTTTAATCTCAATAACCTTGTTTCTCTTGACCTAACATCTTCTGGTTTTCTAAGTCCACTCCCTGATGGTCCTTGGAACTTGACATCCATTATCACTCTTAACATCAGTGATAATGAAATGAATGGTTCATTACCTAGTCAATTGTTTGGTCTTAGTGGTTTGGTATCTATGAACCTAAGAGGTAATCAATTTCAAGGTTCCTTGCCCAATGGTCCTTGGAACTTGACATCCCTGGGTATTCTTGACATCTCCAGCAATAAATTGAATGGTTCATTACCCCATCAATTGTTTGGTCTTAGTCACTTGGCATCTCTGGACATAAGTTTCAATCAATTGCAAGACCCTTTACCCAGTGGTTTCTCAAACTTGACATTCCTTAAAAATTTGGATGTTTCTGGTAACCGCATGAATTCTCACATACCAAATCAGATTTACGATTTGACCAATCTAGAGTCACTACGTCTTAGTGACAACCAATTGCAAGGAACCATTTCAAATTCTATTTCCAATTTGACATCTTTGTCTGCCCTTTATCTCTCTGGAAATATGCTTACTGGAGAGATACCAAAGCAAATTGGGAATCTAAACAAGCTGCAAGAGCTTTATCTCTTTGGAAATAGGCTTACTGGAGAGATACCAAAGCAAATTGGAAATCTCAACAAGCTGCAAGAGCTTAATCTTGCAACAAACAGGTTATGCGGACCTCTTCCTGAGAATTTGGGGTATTCATTTCCAATGATTGAAAGGTTGTACATTTCAGATAACAAGTTGGAAGGCATAGTGACAGAAAATCACTTTGTTAATCTCACAAAGTTAACCATTTTAGATGCATCTGGAAATAGATTAACCATGCGTGTCAATCCAAACTGGACACCTCCCTTCCAACTTGATCAGCTTTATCTAAGTGGCTGGAATTTGGGTCCACAATTTCCTCTCTGGTTGCAATCTCAACATCAAATTTCTTTTGTGGACATTTCTAATGCTGGAATAGAGGGTGAGCTTCCACCTTGGTTATGGAACTTTTCTTCTCAAATTTTATTTGTTAATGTTTCACACAACCAATTGCGAGGCCAAATTCAGAACATACTATCTCATTCAACTAGAGAGATTGGTATGCCTTTCTCAGTATTCTTGAGCTCTAACCAATTTATTGGTCCCTTACCTCGTATTTCTATCCACATAATTGAGTTAGACTTGTCAGACAATTCATTCTCAGGAAATATTTCTAACTTCTTATGCCATGCACAAAAGGTGCAATATGACCTCAGAATACTTCATTTGGGAGGAAATGATTTATTTGGAGAAATTCCAGATTGTTGGATGCATTGGCCATACTTAGAAGTTTTAAATATGAAGGAAAACAAATTGATTGGAAGCATTCCAAATTCCATTAGGCTTTTGAGTAAATTGGAATCTTTGGACATGCACAAAAACATGCTTTCTGGCCCGATACCACTACTGCAAAATTGCTCCTCCCTATTGAAAGTTGATTTGGCTGAAAATGGATTCACAGGGAAGATTCCAAGATGGTTGGGGACTTCTCTTTCACATTTGATAATCTTAAGGCTCCGATCAAATAAGTTTAATGGTGAATTGTCTCCAGAGTTTTGTCATCTTACATCTCTTCGCATTTTAGACATTTCCAATAACAACTTTTCTGGCGTGATACCTAAGTGCCTTAAAAATCTCACTGCAATGATCAATGAAGGGGAGCTCCCATTACTTATGGGGTATTCATTTTTTGGAAAAATCTTCGGTGAAAGTGCTCTAGTGACTACTAAAGGACATGAGTATGAGTATTTCACTATCATTCTAAAGTTGTTTGTTAGCATGGATTTTTCTAATAACAACTTTAATGGGGATATTCCAATTGAATTGACGAATCTTGTGAGATTGAAATCTTTGAATTTATCAAGAAACAATTTGACAGGAAATATACCCGTGGAGATGGGAAATATGAAGTTATTAGAATCCATTGATCTTTCAAGAAATCAACTTTCAGGAAAAATTCCATCAAGCTTCTCAAGTTTGTCATCGTTGGGTGTTTTAGACCTGTCCTATAACAACCTATCTGGGAAGATACCTTCAGGTACTCAACTGCAAGGCTTTAATGCTTCGTGTTACATTGGCAACAACCTCTGTGGCCCTCCGCTCTCAAAAAGCTGTAGCAGTATTGATGATGGTAAAATTCCCAAAAATGAAAGCGAAAGAGATGATGGTTGTGAAGTGGATTGGTTTTATGTTAGCATGGTTATAGGATTTGCAGTGGGCTCTGGATCCATCTATGGCTCTTTGTTTCTTGTAAAATCTTGGAGGATTGCTTATTTTAAATTTTTAGATAAGAAGTTGAAGTCTTTTTTAGTATGGGCACATGCTTTGAGTGCTTAATGCTTCTAGCTATACAGAGTTGGATGAAAGTTTAGAAGTGAATAACAATGTTGTATTCTCCTGTAATATGGCAGTAATAAATTAAGTTCATTCTTCTTCTTCAATTCCTAATACTCTGTTCTCTGAACTTAGCTTCATGCTCTCTATTATTCTGACAACCTGGGATAGAAGAGTTATGAATTCTAAGCAAGGGAATGGACTTAAATACATCATTGCTAATAAAAGCATGTCTATTGCCTACTTGTGTTTTGGAAGCCCCGAAAAAATCTCAATCATTTATATTGTGTGACAATAATATTCGAACTTTTAAGTTTTGACAATTCAATATAAACAATTTTGTCTTGTGAAGTTGTGATAGTTATATATATATCTAACTATGTATTACAATTATATGGAAACCTTTAGAATTTGAAAATTTAACACCACATAAATCTTTGTATCTTGTGACAATTGTATCCAATTATAACATTCGACTCAAGAAATAATTAGATCATAAAATCATTTTAAAACATCATTTATCAAAATTTATACTGCATATACCATCCCAGTTTCTGCTTCGAGATAAATGGACAAAAGAATAGACAGTACGAAAGGAAGAAATCAGGGCTGCAAGGAATACCATGCAGCATAGAAGCTAAGCTTCCATGAGGAGACAGCTCAAGAACAAGGTAGCATCCACCTTCAACTCCATAGCCGATCAACTTGGTAGTATTTGGATGGTTGAGATGAGCCATTATGCCATTATGCCAGGCTGAAGTTGTTCCACTGAGGCCGGCTTGAAATAACTAAAATCACCCTCCAGAATGGGGCTCTGCACCACAAGCTGCCTCCAGATTTTCAAACAACTGAGATGATCCAAGCTTCCGAAATGCCTCTTCTTGAATTTATCCCTCAACAGCTGAAGAAACCCATCCCATTTTGAATTCCTCTTTTCATAACTCTCCGATTCAAATTCCAATATGCTGCTCTTTCTAGTGTCTGTTTCTGATACTAAACCATTCAAGAACTGTATCGCGACCATCTTCAGTCCAGTCCAGTCTAGGAACAGGAAAACTGGGCAAACTCACCAGGCCAAGAACAAAGAAGCAGCTTTCACATAACAGATGATGAAAAACTAATCAAGGATCACTTGTACTGACCAAAAAAACATTAGAAAAAAGAACCCGAAACCAAAAATGGATTCAAAGAAAGAACCTTTAGAACTTACAAGAATCACATTCAAGAATACAAATCAGAATAGGTGACCACAAAAACTAATACAGAATGGTAATGATTGGGGTGACTGATGCCTTAAAGGGATTATCAAACTCCACCAAGATTTCAATCAATGTTTCAATTCCTCACAGTAAACTTCCATAATACGATGCTGTCTCAATCTGTAGCACATTTGTAAGTGATTTATAAGATAAGACATCAAATATGAAAGCAAGTTTAAAATATGAAATCCTGCAGCTCAAACAACTGGTTTTGTTTCAAAGTCTGGAAATAGAGATAAAGACAGAACTTTCAACTGCTCTTCAGAGTGGTATGGGAGGGGGGAAACGGGCATGGAGATTGGCGTTGTGCAAGAAGGACAGTCCTTCATTCCTAAAATAGGCATGTTACATGAATAATTATACAGAACTAATTTGGAAACTATCATAATCATATCCCTGTGAATTAAGAAGCTAAGCATACCTCAAATCATGACATCTCTTAGTATTCTTGACATGTCTGGAAATAATTTGAATGGTTCATTACCCCATCAATTGTTTGGTCTTAGTCACTTGGTATCTGTGTACATTAATGACAATCAACTGCAAGGCCCTTGACAATCAACTGCAAGGCCCTTTACCTAATAGATTTTCAAACTTGGCTTTCCTTAAAAATTTGGATGCTTCTGGTAACCACATGAATTGCCCCATACAAAATTGGATTTACGATTGGACCAATCTAGAGTCACTTAGTCTTGGTGACAACCAATTGCAGGGAACCATTTCAAACTCTATTTCCCATTTGACTTCTTTGTCTACCCTTTATCTCTCTGGAAATATGCTTACGGGAGAGATACCAAAGCAAATTGGGAACTCAGCAAGCTACAAGAGCTATATCTCAATGGAAATATGCTTACTGGAGAGATACCAAAGCAAATTTTTCGCACAACCAATTGCGAGGTCAAATTTGATGAAGATAATGAATGCAAGAATGAAGATAATGGGAAGAGAATGAAAAAATCTGCAGGCAAACAAGTGGGAAGAGAATGAATGCAAGAATGATGTTCATCCTAACCCTAAACTAACCCGAATGAAGATATATAATGAATGCAACAATCATATATGTTCATCCTAACCCTAAACTAGCCTAAACTCAGACAATTCAATTGCAATTGAAAGCAAACTCTTACAAAAATGGGGATCATAACAATTTTACCCCATTTTTGTAAGAGTTTGCTTGCGAGGCAACAGCTTCTCCCAAGAAGCCAAAAATCGAAGCCTGCCAAGTGTTGGTCATAAATATTCTTACAGCAGGAAAAACTACTTCCATAAACAGCTGAGAATAAGGAGATGTCATATCACTATCACAGAAATCAAAACAGTTGTCTTAATAACTGGAACGGAATTGCTCAATTTAATAAATACAGACTAAATTAAACCTAATTATAGTACTACATATCAATTTGGCAAATTATACTTTGGATCATAGATAAATGTTTATTATTAATAATATTAATTGTTTAATTTTGGTGTATGGTAAGTTCATTATTGAATATACGAAAAAATGAACATTTAATATAGGGAAAATGGCACTTGTTCCCCCTATGTTATATACTTATAGCACTTTTTCCTCCTCAATTATTTAAGTGGCTCTTTTTCCCCCTGAAATGTTAAATGGACATATTTACCCTTAAAATAAATATTTTATTTATTTTTATTCTCCAATAAATTATTACTATAATTTGGTTCAAACCAGATACTATAGTAACCAAACCAAAATATTCCAATTACAATTTATAATCAAAACACGATATTTAGAGTTTATTAAAATAGCGAACTGGAATGGCCGGTTCATGTTTCGAACTGAAAAAATAAAATACATTTATTGTTGAATTTAAACTATTTTAAAATAAAAAATAAAATTTTAAAATAAAGACGGTTCAAAATCGCGAATGGGATCCGGAACCGCCGGTTCATGATCCAGTTTTTTTTTTTTTTCTTAAATTTAATAAATTGAAATCCAAATATTGGGTTCTAGATCTGAATCATAACTGAAAACTTTTAATTCGATTGCTATAGTGTCTGGTTCAGTTCGAACCAAACCGTGGTAATCGCTACATATGCGCAATAATTTGTTGGAGAAGTAAAATAAATAAAATGTTTATTTTAAGGGTAGAAATGTCAATTTAATATATTAGGGGGGAAAACCACCACTTTTAAAATAATTGAGGGGGCTAATGTGCTTACATAAATAATTGAGGGGGAAAAAGTATTATAAGTATATAACATAGGGGGAAAAAGTGCCATTTTCCCTTTAATATATTAAAAATAAATTTTTAGTATTGCAAGGTAGATCATAGTCAATAGTATAATAATGATTATATACTTGATGTACTTCCAAAATCTTACTCCCACTTGTGTTCAAATTTAATTGAAGGAAGAAAAAAAATGAATGGATAAACATCATGTTCCCTTACAAAATTGAGCAATCAAAGCATGCTAAATTATAGAAAGTATAAAATGGGAGTACTGGTAGAATTACTCAATTTTTTTTAGACACCCACGTCTAGACTTGCTCAAGGTATGGACCAACCATTCAAACTGAGTTTTTCTTTTTTTTTTTTTTTTTTTTTTTCAATTTCAATTTTGATGGTTAAAATTATCTAAATTTAACTTTATTTCTAAGAATTTTTTCAATTTTAAATTTTTTTAAAGATCAAATGTAGATTTTTTTATTAGTTTCTAATAGGAACTTATTTTGTAGTAATAGTATGGTGAGTAGAGTTAGTTCAATTTTTTAATTTCTAATTTTATAAATGACAGTTCAGTTTTAGTGTTTTTTTTTTTTTTTTTTTTCAGAATATTCTCTTTTGGTCATAGTATTATTTTGGTATAATCATTTTTTGTCCGTTAAATACAAAGACATTTAGATCTTTTTATACAAAGTGAGTTTGACCTACTATCAATGTTTGTGAGAAATGAGTTAAATGACAATTGTTGGATATTCGAATATAATAAAGATAACAATTTCTTTTATGGATAAATTGACACTTTTCAGTACAACCGCACGGGATGTCCTCCCTGCACCTGATCCCTTTCATATATATAGGGTGAGGATCAAGTGAGGATAAGGCCCTAGGTGAGGATTGTGCCTGATTTTGATCCGTGGGATGAGACAATCTAATGGCTCAGAATGCGCAAAACTAGTAATTAAAAATCGACTAAAATTGGTAATAACCGTAGAAGTAATAAATGTAGGGGGTAAAAGAGTAAATGAGAATTGAAGGGGAATTGACGTGAATGGAAGGTGCAAATAGCCTGTTTGACTACCATTAGGGTTAAAACACCGATTCTCTAGAGTTGTTGGCATTGCACATTCCATTCAACCAAAATTCCGTATCGATTTTTGGTTTGTTATTTTGTGTTTTTTGAATCTTTGTCGTTGCTGTATGATCCGATAGACAAATGTTGGAGTTTATAATTTGTTTGGTTTTAGACAATGGAATATGCTACAACTATAATATAAAGTAATTCCAGATTGCACATTAAAAACATGTTGGTTTTATTTCTTTTGTTTTTGTTGATGTTGATGTTAGTGCAACTAGTAAGAAAAAATGTGAGTTATGATGAGGAAGACACCTGTGAATGCAACGGTATGAGCATGGATTGTGGAAATATGCGGATCAACGTGCTACGGGTACTGTGCAACCGTATAGTTTTGCATTAAGTAGGTGTGCAACCGTGTGGTTTTCCAGTGTGCAAGTATGAGGAATCCACCAATTACGGGGTGTGCAACCACATCGTTAT